GGGAGGGGGGGATGGGCATGGAGGAGGGCACTTTGGGGATGAGCACTGAGTGTTATGTGGAAACTAATTTGACAATAAACTATTTGTAAAAAAAAAAAAATAAAGTAACAATAATGACAGCAAAAAAAAAAAAAAAAAGGATATGGGAAAGAAGAGGGGAGAAATACCTAGCCCTCCTTCCCAGTTCTTTTCCAAGGCAAATGCTACCTGTCTGGGCACTATTTAAATAGCTCAAAGGATGGGGCGCCTGGGTGTCTTGGTTGGGTGTCCAACTTCGGCTCAGGTCATGATCTCACGGTTTGTGGGTTCGAGCCCCACATCGGGCTCTGTGCTGACAGCTAGCTCAGAGCCCGGAGCCTGCTTCAGATTCTTTGTCTCCTTCTCTCTCTGACTCTCCCCTGCTCATGCTGTCTCTCTCAGAAATAAACATTAAAAAAAAAATAGCTCAAAGGAGGGTGCCTGGGTGGCTCAGTCAGTCAAGTGGTTGAACATCTTAACTCTTGATTTTGGCTCAGGTCATGATCCCAGAGTCATGGGATCAAGCCCCATGTCAGGGTCTGCCCTGAGCATGGAACCTGCTTGAGATTCTCTCTCCTTTTGCCCCTCCCTCTCCCCGACTCACATTTTTGCTTGCTCTCTTTAAAAAAAAAAAAAAAAAAAAAAAAAAAAAAAAAAAACTCAAAGGAAGGGGCATTAACTTTCATTTTGGATCCACAGCTGCCAATCAAAGGGTTATAGCAACAGGTACTATTTATGTAAACTCTCTTCACCTATATTGAACCCAAACCACCTCGGGAGTGAACGTGATCAATTCACCAGAGCTGAGAGGCCACAGAGGGGCAACTGCCCAGCCTCTCTCCCTCTAGACCCAGATGGCTTCCCTGGGAGGGAGGGAGTCTGAAAATAATGCTCCTTGATATTAGACAGGTACTGACCTAAGAATGAGCACCCAGTCTGGATGCCAAACTCTGCCTTTAGGCATTGAGATTTATTGAAACACTACATACATATTAAAACATCCTTATATACATTTTCGCCATTACAAGATTACAAATATACAAATTTTCTCAAAGTCAGCATCTTGTGTATTAGAAACAATTGTAGAAAACCTACATCCTAATTCCAGCAATTAAATTGATGTTTCCCTCTGCCAATAAAAAACTGGCACAATTCATCCAATTTCTCAAGTCCAGCTCTGAAACCACAGTATTCACATGGAATGCTTTTCCAAAGCAGCAGTGACTCAATTCTTAGGGGGGAATATCTGCCTAAAGTTCTAAGAGCCTCATGATTGTTCAGGGAAAACTGACAGTGGGGGGAATCATCTTCAACAATATTTTGATTATAAACTCCATAGTGGTCTTCTTTCTAAATAAGTAATGACATATTAAACTGCCCTCTGGTCAGGGCAATGTAATAAACCCAGTTGAATGCAATAAATAACAGTTATATTTCTTTTTGTCAGGATGAGAAGGAAGGTCCTTGAGCAACATTGTTTCACGTTGAGAATTTAGTCCTAGGAGAGAGCTCTCTGCACTCCCCATCAGGTGTGTAATGTAGACAGACACTGGGTGTAACCTCTTATCTTCATCCTTGTAGTCCAGAAAATTTGGGCCAAGGTCTTTCTGACTTGGGTACCAACTGAGTCCTTATCATAAGGGAAGCAAATGTTAATTGGAAAGTTGAGGCTGCCTAGGGAAGAGGCACACAGGAAAACAGAAGGGGCAAGACAAATTTAAGAGCCTTTCTGTTAGTTCCCAGGTCCTCAAAGGCTCTCTTTCAGAGTCCAGGTGACTGTGGTACACATCTTGGGGTGTGAAGAATTCATTCTGGCATCAACATTCACTGTTTTCTGCTATTTTCTGTAATGCCACATTTTTTCTTCTCCTCCTCCTCCTCTAACCACCCCTTTCGCAAAGATATAAACCTAGGAGGCTGTTAGGTTAAAATGTCAAATATATAATGGAGGAGGTGAGCCTTCACCTAAGTACCCATGAGTTAACGTTGTAAACACTGCAAAATTAAGATTAGTGGCCAACCCAGGAAATAATACTAGGAAAGGAAAAAGATGTCCAGAGCCATGCAGTGGAAAGAACTGGAATCTCTGTCTGTTATCTTAATGCACTGATTATGAAGGAAGGGGGACAGCGATCAGCCACATGAGCATTGATTCCAACCTTCAATGCCAGAAACTTCTCAAGCAGTCTCAATATAGGTGCCATCAGCCCTGATGGTGTTAGCTTTCCAAGTATCTGAAGATGCTTTGCTTCAATCCTGAGGTGTTATCATCTGTTTTGAGGCGTTTGGGTGAAGGGGATGTGATTAAAGATGGACCCCTTCTCCTTACCTAGAGAGCAGAGAAAGAGTCAGGATCAGCTCAAGACCCTCATACAAGTACTTACCTTCAATTAGCTCTTTAGGAACTCATAGTTTAGAAAAAAAAGAAAGAAATATAAACTTTCCAGGAAAGTTTCAAAGCTGATTACCTACTGGGGGTAGTAGTCCTCTTATACCTTATTGGAGAGTGCAAGATTAACACTGCAGCATAAGCCTTTAAGCCAGAAATATCTATATTTTCAATTTATAAACCAATCAATCAATCAATCAATCTTGTGTGGAGAGCCACCAAATAAATCCTCAAATTCCCTACCTGAGGCTTAGATGATTCCTTCGTTGCCTCAGCCTTAACAGGAGAAAGTGTGTGGAAGACAAAGTTTCTTAAATTTCGGGGTGCACTGGGGTTGAGGTCAGAGAGGGCAGCCAGTTTCTGAAGCACAGCTTTGGGCTGGTTTAGCAGTGAGCCTGTCTTCAGCTGAAAAGAGAAGAGTCACTTGGTATCAAATCCCAATGTCAAGGAAAGAATGAGAAGTCAGTCCTTCCTTGCCTTACCCAGGTCTTGAGGGGACATATTTCTACCCCACTCAAGTAGAAAAGAAACAGCAAACTCCTTTGACATCTACTTTCATTTCCTGCAGCCACTTCCCCCTGCCCCTCCGATGATGATGAGATGACAGAGTATTCCCTTAGCCTGACCTGGACCTATATAACCTTGCAGATCATGACATTAGGCTAACAAAGTCCCCAACCAACCTGGTGAGCACTCTCCAGCCTGATAGCTTCAAAAGGATTTCTGAGTAAAGACTTTGGTTCTTGAATAACCACAGTTTGATTGGCTGAAAAGAAAAGACAAGAGGCTTGTTCTAGGCAAACCTGGGTAAACTAAACAAGCTATGAAGCCTATAACTAAAATAAAGCTTAGGAACTCTGACTTTAAACTATATTAAGTGGGTCCAAGAAGACAGACACCCAAGTTGAATGTCGACAAATCATTAACAGTAATAAGAAAAAACAAGAGTGACAAGAGTACAGGATAGTCTTTAAGAGTCTCAGCTCTGGCGGCGACTGGGTGGCTCAGTTGGTTAAGCGTCTGACTTTGGCTCAGGTCATGATCTCACCGTTGATGAGTTCAAGCCCCACATTGGGCTCTGTGTTGACAGCTCAGAGGCTGGAGCCTACTTTGGATTCTGGGTCTTCCCCTCTCTCTGCCAACCTCCTACTCTGTCTCCTTCCCTCTCTCAAAAAGAAATAAACATTTTTAAAAAACCCAAAACTTTATTTTTTAAAAAAAGCCAGAATTCCTACTCTGAGCTGCTTTAAGAGATAAAGTAAAATCAGCTACATATACTCACAAGTACAATGTCCACTGTCCAATAGTCTAAGATCCAAGAACAGTCTTTTCCCATCTCTGAAGGGCCCCTTTAAGACAGCATTAGACAAAGTCCCGTGCCTGAGCTGCAACAGCCCTTGAAGGCTGGAGTTACTTCCAAGGCTCCAGCACTGACAATATAGGGGACTGGACCCAGAGGAGAACCAAGAGCTCACCATTTTTCTGTAGCGCTCTGGCTGTAACTTTCTTGGCTAGCATCATAAACTGACTGTCTTCCCCAATTTCTTCTTCTTCAGCTGCAATTTTCCCCTGCTGTGCCTGAAAATAAAAATCAGACACTAGTGAAAGAAGTCTGCCACTCCTCAAAATACTTAGCATAGCCTGGACCTGGGATATCATTTGTTTTCCTCTTTGCGACCTTTGTTGATTTAGACAAAACAATTGATATTGGACAAACAAACATGAATTGAACTGCCCATGGTAATCTTCTCAAAGCACAAAAGAAAATTCAAGTATTAGAAGGGACAGCAATAAGTTGTCCAAGATTTCAAAACTATCCTGACAAGCGAGGTGAGTGGGTCTTCTCCTTATAAAGTAGAGTCAGAACAGGCAACTTTCCTGCAGACTTCCTACCTGGTCCCGAAGCCACTGCTCTCTTTCAATTCTCTCCTTCCTCCAATGGGCTTCTGTCTCATCGAGCTGCTCTTCAATCTGATCATCATCAGAATCTCTGTGGAACAAGTCCATCTGGGAAGCATCATCTAAAGCAAAGAGTTAAGGCTATCAACATTCTGCAATCTCCATAGGAGAAGGTGCCTGGACAGACACAAATGAACTCATCATTTATCATATACCAACACAAGCTTGTCCCATCCACTAATAGAAAGTAACAGTTAGAGCCGGCTCCTCCACAATAGACTGCTATAGCTTTGATTTCCACTCACAGTCTTAAACTGGACAAACTTGTACATTGTACAATTTATTTCTAAAAGCAACAAGATACCTATGTTTTTCCATCGGAATTTCCTCATTCGTCCAGGACCATCACTGTGCAGATCCCCATCAGCAAGGTATCTCTCCTGGTATAAACGCAGCTGTCGCTTATCATCATCCAACATCGTTTTCCTGCAGGAAAAATATGGTGTTCAAAACCAGGACCACTCTGGCTGGTCATAGGGCCTGCCTTAAGAAGCATCCCATTACTCAGAAGGACTTGTTGGGATACTGACATGTGTATTTTCTTGATTTGATTCTGCAGCTCCTCATCAGAAGGAAGTACTTCATCAATTTCTTCCTGTTCATATTCGTCAATATCTTCCCCATCATACTCATCTTCACTTCCCACGTCACTCCCCGACACCTCTGCCTCATCCTCTAGGTATTTCTTCAATCTCCTAGAAAATAATTTTGAAGATTAGAAAATGCAAAAATGAATACATACACAGACTGTGTATATACTGGGAAAAACAGAACACAGCCACTTCTAATAATAATAAGCTTAAATTTATAATAATACATTTTGATAATACTTAAAGTATATCATTTAATATATACTGTGTGCCAATAATATATTGTGCTTTACAAGTATTATGGCATTATTTTAGGAGGGAGTACTATTATTTCCTTTAATTTGCAGCTGAATGAATTGAGACTCAGAGAGTAAATAAGTTAGTCACTCAGCTAGGAGGTAGTAGAGCCTGGATTCAGTTAGGTTCTTTAAAGTCAGAACTCCCAATCTCCTCTATACATGTGAAACATAACTGTCAAAAGTTCAGATTATTCTGTTCTGTATTTAAGCTCACCAGTGTTAGGAGACAGTCTAGAGACAGTATGGAATAGAAAGGTAATAGAGTGGGCTCTCTTACAGCTACCACATCTTGACCTCCAAGTTAGAGCCATGACTAAGGCTCAGAGTTACTGGTAACCAAAGCCACTACTAGTTAGTTTTTGTGACTTCAGTTCTGACTGAGAACAAATCTGCTTTTACTTTGGGTTCAAAGTACTGTCATCTATGGTCATAATTTAGCAGAAGTTTGATGGCTTTCTGAAGGTTGATTTTTTTTTAAGTTTATTTTTATTTATTTTAAGAGAGAGATAGAGAGCAAGTGGTAGGGGGGTGCAGAGAGAGAGAGAGAGAGAGAGAGAGAGAGAGAGAAAATCCCAAGTAGGCTCCACACTGTCAGCACAGAGACTGATGTAGGGCTCAAACTTGCAAACCATGAGATCATGACCCAGGCTGAAGTCAAACACCCTGAAAGCTGATTTTTATTAAAGACTTATGTTGTTGTTGTTGTTTTTTTAAGCCAAGTTTCTCTAAATCCTAGGCTACCTGGGGAATTCCTTCAAGGGCTACCAGCCACTAAGTTCCCCAATCTTCCCACTTTGAGCAGTTCAACTTTTAGCTGTCATTTTTTCTAAGATTTCATTTGAACAAAGGACTCTGTAGTTAAATAAGGTTTAAGAACCACTGTCTTAGGGGTACCTGGTGGCTCAGTCGGTTAAGTGTCCAACTTCAGCTCACGTCATGATCTCCCAGTTCATGAGTTCAAGCCCTACGTCACGTTCTGTGCAGACAGCTCAGAGCCTGGAGCCTGCTTCAGGATTCTGTGTCTCTCCCTCTCTGCCCCTTCCCCACTTACACTCTGTCTCTCTCTCAAAAATAATAAACATTAAAAAACTTTAGGGGCACGTGGGTAGTTAAAGTCGGCGTCTAACTTTAGCTCAGGTTCATGAATTCAAGCCCTGTATCGGACTCTGTGCAGACAGCTCAGAGCCTGGAGCCTGCTTCAAATTCTGTGCCTCCCTTTCTTTCTGTGCCTCCTCCACTCTCTCTCAAAAATAAACATTAAAAATTAAAAACAAAAAAAACCACTGCCTTAGAAAAATCTATAGATGACCCAAAGCTGTATGAGATAGTTAATTTGACAGGTGATGAATTAGAACCCCAAACTGATCTTAATAGAATGGAATGATGGGCTAGAAACAATAATTAAATCAGTAGGGATCAATATAATATCCTATATGTGAATTCGAAAAGTCAGCCACATACAATATAATACTAAATATCTATTAAAATGGTCTTTATAAAATTTTTAACATTATGGAGAAAAGCTTATGGACCTCCTAAGTGGGGGAAAAAAAGCAAGATGCAAAATGACACATTAAAAAAAATGCACAGATCTCAACTATATGAAAATATATGCATAAAAATGGTTATAAAGCAATAATTACCATCAACACTTTCATTAAATATTCTGAATGGTGAACACAGAGGACTTTTTATTTATATATTTCTGTATTCTTTTAAATAAAATAAATGATTTACTTTCATGATCAGAACAGTAAAGCATTAAAAAATAAGTGGGAAAGCCTTTTGCCCAAGACTAAGATGAGGAAAACCTAAAATTACAGTAATTAACAGGAAAAAAAAAGACCCAGGAGTTTTAGCTGTCTACTAGATCCTCAGGATCTACAGTGACTCAGTTCTTACAATCCCTGGTTACTTTATAAGCAGTATGCATCCAGAACAAGGGATGTGGTTTAGCAATACACGCAGCAGTAGTCAGACCACACCTGAGGATAAAGAGAATACCTAGTACATGAGGAGTGTGGAAACAATGTCATGTGAGAAATAACAGTAGGAACTAGGGATATTTCTAGAAATCACCAAGGAGTACGTAACCATCTCTGAATACTCAAGAGATATCATATGAATGGGTTTTATTTAGTCTGTGTTAACTACTAAAAGCAATACCCAGCAAACTTGGGTAAAACAGTGGCAAGCTACAACTTAACTGTTAGAACTTTCTCTAGCAATGGAAGGAATGGACATAACACCTACATTTGCCTTTTCAACTTCTCAGATTGCTTCAGGAGCTCTTCTTCATCATCATCTTCATGGTCTTCCAGTGCCAGATCTTCATTATCAGAGTTACTGTGTTCATCCTGAAAAATCAGAGTATCACACACAAAGTTAAATAGGATAAAACATGACCTCAACTAAAATATAATTTACAAACTTCTGCCCAAACATCTCATTCTAGGAAACTGCTTCTGATAACATGCCAAACTTAGAATTCTCAAGAACTTAGACTAGAAAAAAAACCATACAGAAGCAATACATAGAGTTCAGTTATGATTACTTTGTTCCCTTCAAATTCACCTCATCGCTATCAAACTCATTATCATTTGGGACAAGCCGAAAGTCTCCAAATTCTTCCTCTTCCCCTTCTTCTTCTTCTTTTTCTTCTTCTTCTTCCCTAAAATGCAAATCAAGAAATTAATAAATAAGATGTTGGAACCAAATTATAAGGAGTCAACCAACTTAGGAACTGAAAATATTTTATTAGCACCAATAATCTCTTCAAGAAACATGAAATAAGATACTTTGCCATTTTAATTGTAATATAACACACACAACATAATCACATTGTTGTGCAAGCAACCTCTCAAACTCCTTTCATCTTGCAAAACTGAAACTCTATGCCCTTTAATCAACAATTCTCCATTCTTCCCTCTCGTCACCAACTGGCATAACCCTTCTACTTTCTGTCTCTATGAATTTGACAACTCTAAGTATCTCATATAAGTGAAATCCTATGGTATTTATAGTTTGGGCTTGCTTATTTCAATTAGCATAATATCCTCAGGATTCATCCATGTTTTCACAGGTGTCAGAGTTTCCTTCTTTTTTAAGGTTGAATAATATTCCTGTGTGTGTGTGTGTGTGTGTGTGTGTGTATCTACCACATTTTGTTTATCCATTGGGATACTTCCATTTTCTGACTATTATGAATAATGCTACTGTGAACATGGGTGTACAAATATCTGAGACCCAATTTTGACTTCTTTTGTGAATATACTTAAAAATGGAATTGCTGGATCATATTTTATTTTCATTTTTTTGAGGAAATGCCATTCTGATTTCTATAGCAGCTTCAACATTCCCGCCGGCAGTGGGTAAGGGCTCCAGTATCTCCATATCCTCACAAATACTTGTTATTTTATTTTTTTAAATAGTCACCATCTAATGCATGTGAGGTAGTATCTTACTGTGGTTTTGATTTGCATTTCCCTAAATATTAATGTTAAACACTTTCATGTGCTTATTCTTGTTTTTTTTTTTTTTTTTTTTTTTTTTTTTTTTTTTTTTTTTTTTTTTTTTTTTTTTTTTTTTTTTTTTTTTTTTAGAGAAATATTGTGTTTAATGGTAATGCTCAGCACACTTTTAGCACCAGGCATGGCCTGAAGTTGAAGCAGCAGGGACAGGTAAGTGACCCTCATGGACTCTTACATGCCGAATAGGATGAGGAAAGCGACTATCAAACAGAAGAACCCCATACCCTCAAACACAGCAAAGCCCAGAACGGCATAGAAGAGCTGCTCCTTCAGAGACGGGTTCCTGGCATAGCCAGTGATCAGACTGCCAAATGCTGTTCCAGTGCCAGCCCCTGAGCCAGTCACACTAACTGTGACAGCCCCAGCACCAATAAACTTGGCTACTATATCAATGTGCCAGGAGACAACACTGGTCTGGAACTCCCATCAGACCACCCGGAGTGGAGCTGCTGTAGGAGGACTGTGTAGATGGGATCACTGGCCTGCTCAAGAAGAAGGCAGACACAAGCCTGACTGGACCGTTACAACAGCAGATCAGAGCTGGAGGAATAAGCAGTGCCTGGTGGTCTATACTGTCTGCCTCCCAGCTTTACCTTTAGGTTTCTGTTCTTGCCTTTTTAACCCTGTTCTCCACCAACTAAATGAAAGCATTTTAATTTCTTTACTTTGCAAATGAGACTCAAACACACTGCAAGACTCTAGACAGGATATGAAGCTCCTAAGATGACTCATTACTGTAGACCCCAGGATTTTACCAGAAGACTGGGCCTTCCAAAGTTCCCTGCAATCAGAGACTCACCTGTCTGTTGGGAAAGAGCCTGAGCAAAGAGCAAGGGCTTCTTCCATGGGATCACTCAAACTGTTCTCCTTTTCTTGCTTATTTAATTCTGATGGAGCCAGAGTAGAGGCATCTATATCATAACAAAGAAAAAGATTTGTCACCCAGAAATAACAGCTTTATCCTCTTTACCCAGCCATCTAAAGCCACGCCAGCTCAATACAGTTATAAGGTAAGCTTGCCAAAAAGAGCTCACCATCCATTCATTCAACAAATCCTTATTTAGTGCTTACTATGTGCCAGGCACCAGGGATACAGCAGTGAACAAAACAAAAATCCCAGCTCCTACAGAGTTAACATTCTAGCATCAGGGAGAAAGGAGCATACAGGTAGAAATAAGTAAGCATTTATATGAAATTTACTACACACCAACACTCTTCTAAGCTTTACATACATATTAGCCATAAATGAGAAATCACATGGCAAAAGCTAAAGCAGCCTTTTTTAATTTAATGTTTATTTATTTATTTTGAGAGAGAGACAGAGAGTGCGCACACAAGCGGGGGAAGGGCAGAGAAAGAAGGAGAGACAGAGAATCCCAAACTGTCAGCACAAAGCCTGACCTCATGAACTGAGATCATAACCTGAGCCAAAATCAAGAATTGGACACTTAACTGAATGAACTACCCAGGCACTCCAAAAGCTAAAGCAGTCTTAAGCTGACATTTTACCACCTTAAGAAAGTAAGGGATCAAATATCAGAAGCTAAGAATTCAGCCTGAACACAAGAATCCATTACAGCCCTGTTTTCTGTGAACTTTCCACCCAAGAGTAACGGGCTTCTTTTTAAGGACACTGACTTAAGATATTTGGCTATGGCAAGCCTGATATTCTCTGTTGGATATTTACCCTGAGAAGTGAATTTTCCTGAACAAAGATTCAGAAGTTCCTCCAGGTTCTCTTTCTTGTCGCTCTTCCTGGGCAGAGTTTTTTCAGCTTGAGATGTGAACTTTCCAGTACACAGATCCAATAGTTCGTCCATGTTAGCATCCATGGCATTCTCATCCATGCTGGCCAATGGCAATCGAGGCTTCAGAGCTGGGTACTGATTCCTGTGGTTTCTAACATTTAAGAACCTACAAGCATAATGAAGAATATAAGAAATTCTCTAGGGAAAAAACAAAGTAGTGGGTGAAAAATTTTGATGTTTCTAAAACCAAACTTAGAAGCTGAATCCCAAACCAGAAAACAAAGGATTCAAACTGAAGCCTTAGGATAATCTGAAAAGGGAGGGAGTTTAATAAAAGAATAAATGCTACTTGAAAGGTAAAGGATAATTTTTGGCTCTAGACGGTGCCAGGACAGAACTTGGTGTTATGTCCATGTAATGTGTCACAGGTCCCTCAGTCCTCAGTCCCACACAACAAACCTACACACAGCAGAATGGATACAGGAAAATTTGATGCCCTTATAAGAGCTGTGCATTTCAAGTAAGGCAGAGATCGAAGGATGAGAATGCTAGCAAAGACTATTTACATTTTATTTTCTGGAGAGATTTTGTTCAGACTTGCAGAATATAATACTAATGATCTGTACACCTTCTCTTTCTCAGAAGAGAAAGCACAGATGGAGTGACAGAAGCTTACTTTATTTTTAAACAAAATTAAGCAGTACCCAGCACTATCCCACCCACAGAAACATAAAACTACCTACCCATCTGCATCCAACAGTTGGCTCTGAGTGTCATCTTCTAAACAGAACTGGAAGTCTCCTGCTCCCAGGAAAAGTGTCTTAGGCTCTGGGGAGGCGTTATACAGATCCTGGGAATCCTCTATGGGAAGTGAAGGCTCAGACAGCTTTCCTGAACTCTGGCACCAAAATAAACCAAAACAAAAACAAAATGTTTTATAATTGTCATTCACTGTCATGACAACAACAGAAGTTGCTATTTGTAATATTTCATCTACTCTCAGGCAATTGCAGTTGAGGAGGACAATGCATAGCCAAGATAAGCATAAAGAAAAATATCTTCAAGAAAGTAAGAACACTGGATGAGGATTGTTTTTAATACACAAAGGGGGTGGATTCTTTAAACTGAACATACATAATGTGGTGGGAGTTGGTTGGCCTGGACACACTTTATTTAGCAGTGTGGGAAGCAAAAGGGGAGGAGATTAGAAAACCATTACCATCTTACCTTAGAAGCTGAACTGACCAAACTGGCTCGAAATAGCCCAGGGGAAGGAGATCTGAATCCTCCTGCTGTGGGAAAAAAACTAGTCCCACGGCCTGTTTGTCTGTTGCAAGGCTGATAGGATGGAATTGTGGAGCCAATCAGCTCAAAGCTGCTATTGTGGCTGCTCTCCTTTGTTAGTAACGAGCATGAATCATCTTCATCTAAAGAAAGAGAAATCATTTTTAAGTACATGATTCCAGAAATAAGGTGGGTTTGTTTAGGAAGAAGAATTGAGAATGAAAGCTGTCAGGTAACATCCATCCATAGGCAAATCTCTCAAGTTCTATGTTCTAAAACATGAAGTTGAAGGTAAATTATAGTACTAAGATAGCATTATACAATCAAGATTTTTCACTCTGAGCTAAGTGACACCTGAAAGTTTCCATCTTTGTCTCACCCTGCCTAATGCCTACAATCATTCTCTTCGTTATCCAATCCTGTATACATCTTCCATTCATCTACATATGATTTAAATGTTTCATGGTTCGCTCATTCAGCACACACTACTAAGGGCCTAGTGTATGTCTATGGTCAACAATAAAGAAACTGAACGTAAGTTTTCAAAAACAGAACCGAGAAAAATCTTCTAATTCATAAGTTCCTTTCATTGCCACAAGTAAGACAGAGCAAAGTCCACTAGAGCTTAAAAAAAATGGATTTTATGGAATTGTTCTTAAGTCAAAAATAGAGGAGCTAAGAAAAGTCAAGTTTGACACAAGAGTCACTACTTACCCAGTTTGCTAGGCCTTTTGCCTGAGATTTCATCTGTTTCTGATTTTTCTTCACTAGGAAAGTAACTACAAAATAAGAAGGTAAATTGTTTATCTGTTTCTGCTTCTAACAAGAGGGGCAAACCCAAGGGAATCTTATCTTTCCCTAAAGAGAATTACTTACCCCATCTTGGAAGAGTTGTCCTTAAATAGAAGTAAGGTAGAGTCAGATGACAGAGGTTTGGGGACAGAGAGGCCAACTGACTTGCCAATTTCACTACTGCCATCACTGTTTTCTTTATCCATTTCTTTCTCATCTTTGGTTTCTATTTCTTCACTACCAAGAAGGAATTCTGCAACCTTCATCGATCATGTCACCCAAAAACAAAGTAAAAAATTTTAAAAGCAGATATGCTGTTAGCATCATGTATGGCTGTTTGCTTATAGGTCACATTGTAAATCTGAAAAGGTAAACCCGAAAAAGGCTTGGTCTAACTATTATCATTAATATAACTTTCCACTAAATTATTATTTTATTGAGGCAATGAGAGGTTAAATAACTAGCCTGAGAATGTAGGACAACTTGTTAGTGGCCTTAAACCAAACATAGACTATGATATGCTACCCAGTTCAGCCATTGCTTTCTTCTTTTTTTTACCCAGGGATAAATATGAACCAACTCTTTCAAATTGACTTTGAAACAATTTAAACAAGGCGGGGGGTTTCCCTTTTTTCTAATACCAAAATCTCCATCATCATCTATCTTAGCTAGACGGAAGACAGGAGTATGGAACAACAACATACTACAGCATACATACAACGGCATCCAACCTCAACGAAGGAAGAAATTAACTTAGGAAGGTCTTGGCCTGCCTGAGAATTTATTCCAGACCTCAACCCAACCAAGGTTGAGACTGCTTTTCATTCTGAATAGAGAAAATTTAAATAAAACAAAGATAAAAGTCATCTATTAATAGAAAGCCATTTCCATTTAGCCCTCTATTTCAGTAAATAGACTAACAAGTAGAAACTAAGGCTAGGGCTCTGTGAGCTGCAGGTATCCAGAGGTGCTGACAGAACTGAATGCACAAAGACTTCGGTACCTGTGAGCTTACACCCTCTCTGCCCCTAAAATCTCATACAATTGAACGTGCTGGTTCCCATACTCTTAATGAAATCTGATTTTATCTTTCCCTTATCCATCCTGAACAAATAACAAAACGAAATAATTGTCAGAAACCTCCTGATTGCCTTCTTCTTCCTCCTCTTCCTCTAAATCTCCTTCTTCCTCCTCTTCTCCATCTTCCTCAGACTCATCTGTCATTTCTTCCTCCTCTTCCTCTTCTTCAAATCCATCTTCATTATCTAACTTAAATAAAGCTTGGCGCTTTTGGCGCTCCTCAAGTCTACGGAGTTTCATTGCTTCCTGCAGCTTAGCTTTCAGCACCTGAAGCTTTTCACCTGAATAGAAACAGGAAAAAATGCTTTAGACATAATGATCAACTACCTACTACAGTAATGGAAGTGTGCACTTCAGGCAACCCCAGGAGTGTTCCAGTCATATCTCAAAAGGAAAATCAGAGATCTTATTACTGGAGGCTGTTGTTATCTTAACAAATAAGGACTATTATGAACTAAAGAGAACTTTCATACTTATGTTCTACACCCTTGGATAATATGCTACACAGAGATTACAAAAGTTATGAAAGAGGTCAAAAAAAGGGTGAAAGAGTAAGACTCTGAAAGTCTCTGGCCCAGAAACCATGAAGGACAGCATTGATAAATTTACCTATACTAAAAAAAAAAAAAAAAAAAAAAGAAGGGGCGCCTGGGTGGCTCAGTCAGTTAAGCGTCTAACTTCGGCTCAGGTCATCATCTCACAGTTTGTGAGTTCGAGCCCTGCATCTGACTTTCTGCTGACAGCACGGAGCCTGCTTCTGATCTTCTGTCTCCCTCTTTCTCTGCCCCTCCCTGTTTGTGCGTATGCTGTCTCAAAAATAAATAATCAGGGAGCCTGGGTGACTTAGTTGGTTAGGCGTCCGACTTTCGCTTAGGTCATGATCTCGCGGTTCGTGGGTTCGAGCCCCGCGTCGGGTTCTGTGCTGACTGCCAGCTCAGAGCCTGGAGCCTGTTTCAGTTTGTGACTCCCTCTCTCTCTGACCCTCCCCTGCTCACGCTGTCTCTCTCTCTCTCTCCTAGAAATAAATAAAACATTTGAAAAATAAATAAATAAATAAATAATCATTGGGGGCACCTGGATGGCTCAGTTGGTTAAGCATCCAACTTTGGCTCAGGTCATCATCTCACTGAACATGGGTTCAAGCCCGGCGTCGGGCTCTGTGCTGAAAGCTCAGAGCCTGGAGCCTGCTTTAGATTCTGTGTCTCCCCCTCTCTCTGCCCGTCCCCCATTTGCACTCTATCTCTCTCTCAAAAAATGAAAAAAAAAAAAAGTTAAAAATAAATAAACATTAAAAAGTTTTATTCATTTTTTAAATTTTTAAAAAAATGTCTTTATTTTATTTTGAGAGACAGAGATAGAGAGCAAGCAGGGGAGGGGCAGAGAGAGAGGGAGACCCAGCGCCCCTAAATGGGAAGGGGCACCTGGGTGCCTCAGTCAGTTGAGAGGCCAGCTTCACTCAGGTCATGATCTCACTGTTTGTGGGTTCGAGCCCCACGTTGGACTCTGCTGACAGCTTGGAGCCTGGAGCTTGCTTTGGATTCTGTATCTCCCTCTCTTTCTGCCACCCACCCCCCCGCCCCCCACTCATGCTCTGTCTCTGCTCTCTCTCTCTCTCAAAAATAAATAAACGTTAAAAAAAAAAAAGAATAAAATGGGCAAAGAATATGAACTGGTAGTTCACAGAAAAATTGAACCTACGTGGTTAGTGAACAAATTAAAAGTAATGCTTAACCTCATTTCTTTTTCCTTTTTTTTTTGTTTTTTTTAAAAAATGTTTTATTTATTTCTAGGAGAGAGAGAGACAGTGTGAGCAGGGGAGGGTCAGAGAGAGAGGGAGTCACAGACTGAAGCAGGCTCCAGGCTCTGAGCTGGCAGTCAGCACAAAGCCCGACGCGGGGCTCGAACCCACGAACCGCGAGATCATGACCTAAGCGAAAGTCGGACGCTTAACCAACTAAGCCACCCAGGCGCCCCGATCATTTCTAATTAAAGAGATATAAATCAAAATAAGAGATAACATTTTTGACATATTAACAGGAGAAATCAAGAACTCATACATTGTGATTCAGAGTGTAAACTGGTGCAACTATTTTGAAGAACAGGATGATATATATCAAAATTTGACTCAATGATTCCACTATAAGGAATTTTGCATCCAGATAAACCAACATATATCTGATACTAGGGTGCAACATTATATGAAATACCAACAACTGCCAACAACTAGAGTAAACAAGATGTCCATTAACAGTATAGTTAAACAAATCATGTTATAGTCTCACAATGGAATATGCAGCTAAAAAAAAAAATCTCAAAAGCAATATAATGTGTATCTGAGTTCTGAAGTTAGGAGGTCTGGATTAGGCTACTGGTTCTACTACTTATGAGTTGTGCAAACCTGAACAAATTGTTTAAATTCTTTGTATATCAGTTTTCTCATATACAAAATAAGAATACTAGTGTTATTTACGGTAAAGCACCCAGAACAGTGCCTAGCAGAAAGTAAGTATCTAAGACAGACAATGTCTGTCTGTCTCTCTCTGACACACACCCACACTCATAATGGAGTACACATAGGAATTTTCTTCCAAGGACAAACAAGAAATTGTTAACAGTTGTCTTTAGGAAGGCTAATTTTTCATTTCATACTTTTTCCTCAGTGTTTCCATTTTTTTCTATGTGATATATTATTTGTACTTTCTTTATTTTAATGTTTATTTTTGAGGGAGAGAGGGAGAGCATGAGTGGGAGAGGGCAGAGAGGGAGACAGAGGATCTGAAGTGGGCTCTGCACTGATAGGAGAGAGCCCAATGTGAGGCTCAAACTCAAGAACCGTGCATGAGATGATGACCTGAGCCAAAGTCGGATGCTTTACCAACTAAGCCACCCAGGTGCCCCTGTTACTTGTACTTTCAAAGTACAACAGACATCTGAGAACAATTGTTAGAACAAAAGAGCAGATTACAAAGCAGAATGCACGATATGATTACATTATTGTTGTTGTTTTTTTTAATGTTTTATTTATTTCTGAGAGAGAGAGAGAGAGAGAGACAGCGTGAGCAGGAGAGGGTCAGAGAGGGAGGTACAGAATCTGAAACAGGCTCCAGGCTCTGAGCTAGCTGTCAGCACAAAGCCCGACGCGGGGCTCGAATCCACGAACCATGAGATCATGACCTGAGCCGAAGTCAGACGCTCAACCAACTGTGCCACCCAGGCACCCCTATTGTTTGTTTTAAAAAAATGTTTAAAGATTTATTTATTTTGAGAGAGAGAGACAGACAGACAGACAGAACACAAGTCGGGAAGGGGTAGACAGAGGGAGACACAGAATCTGAAGCAGGCTCCAGGCTCTGAGCTATCAGCACAGAACCTGATGCAGGGTTTAAACTCATAAACCACAAGGTCATGACCTGAGCCGAAGACAGAAGCTTAACCAATTGAGCCATCCAGGCACCCCTGTTTGTTTTTCAAAACATGTAAATACACACATGCAAAGAGAGATTAAAAGGATACATGATACAGTTATAGAAGGTATCTCTGATAGAGAATCACAGAGGTTTTTTGTTTATTCTATGTATTTTCTACAATGGATATTCATAAAAACTATTGGAAATAAAGCCATCTTATCAACCTCCACATCTAAGCAATGCTACATGTAAGTCATGCCAGAGGTACTGCTATCCAATCTCCAAAGTGTCCAAGGAAAAAGATTTTAGAACTTTTCACTATAGGGTCTTCAGTAGCCATAAAGACCTGCCAGTGTACAAAACATAAAGCAAGCAAACAAAAACATGAACTCAAATACCTGGTTTTGTATGGCTTGCTCCATCCAGCTTCTCAGCTGCCAAAGTCACAGGCACCACATCTGCCTTTAGCTCTTCCCTTCCGTCAGTGCCCAGGCCTTTCACTATGATGTTCACATTTATCTTCTGACCAGCTCTGGGTTTCACTGCTGGATTAGCATGCTTCCAGAAACGCTGTTTCAAGGCTTCCAGTTCTAGATCCAAATGCCAACCAGTATGTCAGTATGCCATGCTTAAACTCTTTTCTTTAAGATTCTAGTTAAGACTAGGACTACTCTACAGCCCAGCAATTAATTGCACTACTAGGTATTTATCCAAAGAATACAAAACTGCTGATTCGAAAGGGCACACCCCCCCGCAGTGTTTATAGCAGTGCTATCAATGATAACCAAATTATGGAAAGAGCCCAAACGTCCATCGACTGATGAATGGATAAAGATGTGGTGTGTATATATACATATAAAATACTATTCAGTGATCAAAAAGAATGAAACCTTGTCATTTGCAACAACATGAGTGGAACTAGAGTGTATTATGCCAAGCAAAATAAGTCAGGCACAGAAAGACAAATAGATTATTTCATCCATATGTGAAATTTAAGAAACACAACAGATGAACATAGGGGAAGGGAAGGAAAAAGAAGATAAAAACAGAGATGTAGGCAAAGGTAAGAGACTCTTAAATACAGAGAGCTGAAGGTTGCTGGAGGGGAGGTAAGTGGGGAGATGGGCTAAATGGGTGACAGGCACTATAAAGGGCACTTGTTGGGATGATAGTGGGTATTATATGTAAGTGGTGAATCACAGGGTCCTACTCCTGAAACCAATACTACATTGTATGTTAACTAACTTGAATTTAAATAAATAAACTTAAAATTAAAAAAAAAAAAAGGATTCCAGTGAAGAATCATAAGCTAAGTTTTTAAGCTCAACAAAGTTTCATAAGCTAAGTTTTTAAGCTCAACAAAGTTTCATAAGCTAAGTTTTTAAGCTCAACAAAGTTGTGGGGGTTGGGGGAGGCGGGAGGGCGTGGTTATGCCTAGACACCAAAAACTCCTTTGCTACTAACACCTATGTCTATTTCATGTAGCTTAACTCAAACAAATGAAATGTTGCAATTATTCTTCCTCAATATACTTCAAATATCATTTTAGGTTAGAAATTTACAACTGAAGTTCTAAATGTGTGCAATTCTTATAAAAAAAAAAGTAACCTGGTGGAACAAACACCATAATTATCAATCATTCAATGGCTTAATTTTTCATAGGTTTCAGCCTCTTTCTGAAAGTTTTCCTGTTTTGAACATTTTACTATTTAACAGCAACCTTACTAAATATGGGCAAGGTCAATTTAAAAAAGGAAAAAAATGACAATCAATCCAGTCAGTGATGTAACTCAGCAGCAGAACTGGAGAAGTCTGTTGATGAAACTGTTATACCAGTATAATCAGTATAATCAGAAAGGAAATTCCACTTACAGGTGGTCTCTGAACCACATACCCAACTTGCATACAAAGGGGAATATATATACCAGAAGCGGTAAGTTCAGTGGTCGAATGGCAACAGGGGCTCTCTCCCCTCTTCTCCACTGCTAGAGCTCAGAATTTCCTTCTCCTCTCTCTCTCAGCTGCTGCTACTTGGCACCATCACCTACTGCCTCTGTTTACATCACACCCTAGTGAGCTCTGTTTTAAGAGAGCAGACAATAAGAAAGAGAAAAGATTTTCCTTTGGGGTTGAGGGATGCCTTCTCTTCCATGATAAAATATCCAGGACACTTCAAGTTTGGTTCTTTTTCTAAAATGCCCTTGAATCATTATTTAGTAATTTGTGGTTAGCATCTAGATGTGGTTTTTCCTTCCTAGAAGGGGACAGAAAGACTGGAAGGAAGCCTTTTCATTCTGAGTCCCTAACATTATTAGTAGCAAAAGTCCAATACCAAAGGATGGTATGTTTATATTACAAACAAAAATGCAGGGAGAGAAGATGTAGGTTTGTATCCTCTTTTATAGCAGTTCAATAAGGCTGGAAGCAATGGGTAGAGTGGCAGTGGAAAGGAACTGAAATAGGTAAGTCATTATTGGCACCAATAGAATTAAAGAAATGGATGTGGAAGAGTTACTTGGGACCTAAAATGATAGTGAGGCAGAGGAGTTGCCTTCATTCTTATGGAGAAAGCCAGACCCTTAAAAACGCTCTTCATCCCCTATGCACCAGGGCACCTACTTTCCTTGCCCTTTACTATATTACTCAACGATCTCCCTCCTCACCCTAGGATCCCTGTTCAGGCTCCTCTCCCTCCATCAGTCTTTGACTAGCTCCTTTCATGTCCTCTCTAAGTGAAAAGTCTCTGCTCCAACTCAGGTTTCCACCAGCAGCCTGAATCTCAAACTGTTCTCATTCCCATTGTTCATTGTCCAGAAAGTAGAGGAATTGAGGGCAGAGACTAATTCCTACACTATTGCAGGAAGCAGAAGTCACATATTTCTGGTATCCCAGAGTTTGGATCTACATACTCTTTTCTCATGGAAACCTTACTTACTCTATGGGAGATTAAGGAAACTAAAACTAAGATCTTCCTACTGCTTTTACTCTTAATCCCTTCCAATGTGTCCACCATACTAGCCACTAGATTGTCCCCACAATGAATATCTGATTGATTCATTTCCTTTGCTAAAAATTTTTCAGTGGTCCTCTACTAACAAAAGACAAAAGTCCAAGCTCCTAGCATGGCCTAAAAGCCCTGCATGATCTGGCCTCTCTAGTTGTCCGTCCCCAGTGCCCTTGCAATTTTCACCCCAGCTCGTCAGGATACCTTATGCTTTCTCTTGTCTCTGTTGGGTCTTTTGTGAGTCTGTTCCCTCCACCAAGAAAGCCTTCCCTCATTTCTCTACCTTGTTATCTCCTATTCAGCTTTTCAAGAATCAGCTCAGGTATCAGTTCCTTTCAGAAGCCTCCCTGACTCTCCACGAGGTACTCCAAGTGAGGTACTCTTTCTCTCGGCTCAGGGTATACACAGCAGTTACTCATCCAGTTGTATAATGGTCTGTTTGCCTGCCTTTCCTCCTATTAGACTTTAACTTCCTTGAGAGCAGGGACTATGTCTTGCATACACAGCATCTAACACCATGCTACATAAAAGTTTACTACACAAATAAATAAAAGTTGATCCTAACTTCATACATATTATGGAACTGACTGGTCTGGAAACCCAAATTTCATGTCAAATACTATTTCTGAAGGAATACATATTCTGAGTTAAAAACAAATGCTTACTATGTGCCAGGCACTGTGCTAGTTCCCTATATAAGCCAAGTGTAATATTGGAACAATTATCCAACCTCTCCAAGTCGCCATCTCTTCATTGCAAAATAATACCAGGAGCCATGAGAATTAAGAACAATCATAAAGAATCTATCAATGTCTAATACAGTAGGTACTCAAAAAAAAAGGTTTCCTCTCTTTCCTGTCTTAGTCCAGGACTATTTAGAGAACATTGAGCCCAAACAAACAAACAAAAATCTCAGGGGGGCTCCTGGGTGGTTCAGTCGGTTGAGTGTCCGACTTCAGCTCAGGTCATGCATGATCTTATGGTTCGTGAGTTTGAGCCTCGAGTCAGGCTCACTGCTGTCAGCCTGTCAGCACACAGCCCACTTTAGATCCTTTGTCCCCTCTCTCTGCTTGCAGTCTCCCATAAAATAAATAAATATTAAAAAAATATCTCAGGGCACCTGGGTGGGTCAGTCAGTTAAGCAACCACCTCTTGACTTTGGCTCAGGAGATGCTTTTATGGTTTTTGAGATGGAGCCCTATGTTGGGTTCTGCACTGACAGCATGGAGCCTGCTTGGGATTCTTTCTCTGAGCCCACTTCAGATCCTCTGTCCCCCTCTTTGCGCCTCCTCTGTGTGCTTTCTCTCTCTCAAAATAAATAAATAAACTTTAAAATCTCCTGTTTCTTTGCTAATGGATCTATGCTAGTCCTGTTACACAACCCTTCCAACCCACCTCCTACTCTGGTCAGACTGACTTACACATCCTCCCAATAGTACAATGCAGAACTCTTTCTGTCCCTTCCAAGAATGTCCTTCTCTCCACTTCCACAAAGTCCACTCATTCAATCAACAAAGACTCACTGGGCATATTTTACACACAAGATACCAACCATAAGCTGTTACAGTTTTAATATAATTTCACTAATAACAGAAGGAGGAGCCAGTATGTGAGTGCCTCTTTATGCTATCCATTTCTATGCATGATCTCAACAAATGTTCACTGTAGCCCTGTGAACCAGATAGCCTTAAAAAAAAAAAAAAAAAAAGTGGCTCAGAGAGGTCAAATAGCATACTCAAAGTTAAACAGTAAATAGCACAATCCAGATTCAAACTTTGCTCTTGCTACAGAGCCTAAGCTCTTAATTACCATGGCAAACTGCCTCAATGCAGAGGAGGGAACATCCAATTCTACCTAGTAGTCAGGAAATCTACCTAATATGGTAATACTTGAGTTCTGTCTTGAAGGATCATTCATTCATTCATCACTCATCCAATATAAATGCCTACAATGTGTCATCCTCTGCGGAAGTGCTGGTGATAGAGTAGGGAACAAGCCAGAAGATCCCTATTCAAAGCATAAGGGGAAAGGCAGTGAACAAGTAATTACATCCACCTACTCTTCAAGCCTTCTTTTAACCACCTATTGGGAGAAACTTATCCTTCCTTTAAACTACCATAGCACTTTATTCTAAATGTTTCTTTCAGCAGAGACTATTTTTCCCTTTTCTTCATTTCATTTTTCCAATTATCAGTGATACATGCTCATTGACTTTCCACTTTCTCTCTTGTATTACTGCTATTTGCACACTTATCTCTCCTACAAAGTGTAAGTAGCTTAAATGTACGATAAATGTCACATTTCTCTTGGTTTGCCCTACAGAACCTTCCATGTCGTGAATAGTTTAGTATTTATTAAATGACTGGGGGAAAAAAGAAATTCAGTCTTGCAGACAATTTACTGAACTAAAACGTTTTCTTTTAACAGTAAAAACATGAATAATGCTTTTTTGAATGTCATGCATTAACATGACAGCAATGTACTTCTTTTGTATACTAACCTATCAACAGGTTTCCATTTTAAACAAGGTTGAGAACATCCTGATGTCATGCCAAATTTATCTAAAGAGAATTGTACCCATATCTGGCACATCTATAGAGCAAGATCAGGTGCAGTTATTGGTTTCTCCTGTGTTCCTTATTCCCGATAGTAGCAAATAATAAAAAGTTGCCAGAACAAATCACTCTGGAGGCTCCCCACAACTCAAAGGATTACCTCTGTTGGTTTCAGGTTCTTCAAGTATTACAAAGGAGTCTTCATCAGCACCCAACCGAGGTTTAATGGTAACATCTACTCCCAGTTGTTTAAGTCTATCCAGAGTGAACCTCCTCGCTTTTTCAGGTGGTGCAACTACTGATTTAGTTTGCTGCCTGGGCTCCACCTTCTCATCTGCGTCTTCTGTTTTTTCCAGGCCGCCTTCTCCCTCCAGGGCTTGAGGTTCAGGTGCCATAAGCCCTCCAGCTTGACACACCTCATTGTCCTTGTTCCCAAGGAAGCTGGATTCCTGTTGTGCCACTGAGCTGTCCTCAGGTGGAGGTCTATCATCACTCTGCTTCTGTTTCTCCTGAAGTTCTAGCTCTTCACTTCCCATTAAATCCTTACTGTAAGACTCGTCTGATCCAGTAGTGATCTGGGGTTCCTTTGAAACTGCAGGAAGTGTGTTAATTTCCAGTTCATGGCCCACACCTATGGTATGCTCAGGATCTTTGCTATGGTGGTCATTATTCATCTCACTTCTATTTGCAGTATCTATGGCTTCTTTGTGAAGGTTTGACAGATACTTAGATGACCTAGAGAAGGAAAATAAGCTGAAGTTGAAAATTATCCTAAGTGTGAAACTCTCATCTCAGCACATAATGAATCCATTATATGTTTTAAGAGACTGAGGACTCTGAACTTCTTTACACCAGATGTTTGCTACAAAAGTGAATGTTTACAAAAATTATAATCTCAAGGAAAAAGAATTCTTACTTCAGTAGCGTCATGGCATTTCCCTGGCAAGTGGGTCGGGGTTTACGTTTGAAGAAATCATGAATGGTTTTATTCTCAGGCATATGATATGGAAGATTAAGTGCAGACTCTACAAAATGGAACAAAACAAGCAAATACACATACTGTATATTCTGAAATGTCACTTCATGTTCAGTCAACTAAACAGTACAGTGAAAGCCATCACCAGAAATAGAAAACAATCCTGGCTTTAGTAAAGACAGGATCTAACTACAAAAGAATTCCCTGGAGACCAGTGGCTTTTAAACCTAGTTGTGGGGGTGCCTGGGTGGCTCAGTTGGTTAAGCGTCCGACTTCAGCTCAGGTCATGATCTCATGGTTTGTGGGTTCGAGCCCCGCAAAGGGCTCTGTGCTGACAGCTAGCTCAGAGCCTGGAGCCTGCTTTGGATTCTGTGTCTCCCTCTCTCTATGACCCTCCCCTGCTCACGCTGCCTCTCTCTCTCTCTCAGAAATAAAACACTGAAAAAAGTTAAAAAAAAATAAAAAAAAATAAAAAATAAAAAAAAAACCTAGTTGTGAAATTAAACTGATGCAGGAAGTTTTTAAAAAATACAGATCCTGGGGTGCCTGGGTGGCTTAGTCGGTTAAGCGTCTGACTTTCACTTAGGTCATGATCTCGCGGTTCATGGGTTCGAGCCCCGTGTCGGGCTCTGTGCTGACTGCCAGCTCAGAGCCTGGAGCCTGTTTCAGTCTGTGACTCCCTCTCTCTGACCCTCCCCTGCTCACGCTGTCTCTCTCTCTCTCTCCTGGAAATAAATAAAACATTTAAAAAAAATAAATAAATAAAAAATAAAAAATACAGATCCTTGGAGCACCTGGGTGGCTCTGTTGGTTGGGTGACCGACTTAGACTCAGGTTATGATCTCGTGGTTTATGGGTTTAAGCCCCATGTCAGGCTCTCTGCTATCAGTGCTGACCCCACTTCTGATCATCTGTCTCTCCCTCTCTCTCTCTGCCCCTCCTCTGATCATGCTCTCTCTCAAAAAGAAATAAACATTTAAAAAAATAAATAAAATAAGAAATACAGATTCTTGGATCCCACTTCTACTGAATCAGAATTTCTATGGGACCTAAGACCTTACACGTTTGAAAGTTCCCATATCCTGACGCTGCTGGGCCACAGAAAATCATTAAAAAAATCCATCCCTCCTTACAACTAATACAGTTCTGAAAATTTTGTTTATACTTATGTTCCAAGGGCTTTAGAACAATGGCCATTCATGTGTAGCAACATGGATGGACCTTGAGGGTGTTATGCTGAGCGAAATAAGTCAGGCAGAGAAGGACAAATATCATATGTTTGCACGTATAGGAGGATTAGGAGGAACTTGACGGAGGAACATGGGGGAGAAGAAGGGGGGAAATGGTGGGGGAAAGGGAGAGAGGCAAACCATGAGAGACTCTTGAATGCTGAGTCTCTGAGCATTCCAAAAACTCCAAAAACTGAGGACTGATGGATGTGGGGGGGAGGGGGGATGGGCATGGAGGAGGACACTTGTGGGGATGAGCACGGAGTGTTATGTGGAAACTAATTTGACAATAAACTATTTGTAAAAAAAAATAAATAAATAAACATTTAAGAAAAAAAAAGAACAATGGCCATTCACCAAGACCAATTCTTTTTTTTTTTTTTTAATTTTTTTTTTTAACGTTTTATTTATTTCTGAGAGAGACAGCGTTAAGGAGAGGGTCAGAGAGAGAGAGAGGGAGACACAAAATCTGAAACAGGCTCCAGGCTCTGAGCTAGCTGTCAGCACAGAGCCCACCACAGGGCTCGAACCCACGAACTGTGAGACCATGACCTGAGCTGAAGTCAGCCGCCCAACCGACCAAGTCACCCAGGCGCCCCTCACCAAGAGCAATTCTAAACCTGGTATTATAATCCATATTACGAGTGTTAAAAAAACAAAATTTCCCAATATCCAAGTTGAGCTTACAAAGAAATACTGTGGTTTGCCACAAAGTTACTATACTGGTTTAGATTACCTCGAATAAGGCGCTGAGTTTCACTATGCAGTTTTTTTAATGCCTCCTTACTTAATTTGGCTGCCTTCCTTTCCTTAAAGAAAACAAAAAGTGAGAGTACATTAATGCCACTATCCGGAAAGACATTCATCCTTCAAGAGTTTGCCCTGTCCAAGAAAAGAGGATGGAGAGGGAATAGTAAGCGCTAATAAGTTCAGTACAATATAAACTACTAAGTATTTATCCAAAGGATATAACAAAAGTGCTGATTCAATGGGGCATGTGCACCCCAGTGTTTATAGCAGTGCTAGCAACAATAGCCAAATTATGGAAAGAGCCCAAATGTCCATCGACTGATGAATGGATAAAGATGTGGTATGTGTATATGTCTGTGTATGTACATTGTGTATTGTGTATGTACATGTATGTGTATGCACCCCACACACACAATGTATACACACATGCACACACAGAATGGAACATTACTCAGCAATCAAAAAGAATGAAATCTTGCCGTTTGCAACAACATGGATGGAACTAGAGTATATTATGCCAAGCAAAATAATTCAGGTACAGAACAACAAGTATCATATGATTTCACTCATGTGGAATTTAAGAAACAAAACTGATGAACACAGGGGAAGGAAAGGAAAAATAAGATAAAAACAGAGAGAGAGGCAAACCATAAGAGACTCTTAAATACAGAAAACAAACTGTATTTTGTTGCTGGAGAGGATGTAGGTGGGGAATGGGCTAAATAGGTGGTGGGTATTAAGGAAGATGAGCACTGGGTGTTATGAGTGATGAATCACAGGGTTCTACTCCTGAAACCAATACTGAACTATATGTTAACTTGAATTTAAATAAATAAATTAAAAAATAAACAAACACAGTGGGAGATCATTCATTTGCACATAACATAGAATTAATTCAATACAATCTGTATTTGTGTCCCTACTATACACAAAGCAATACCATGGGTACCAGGAAAATGATAGACTTGATATAAGATTTATGCCTCAGAAATTCACAACTCTTGGGGAAAGAAATCAACATGACAACATACAGAGCTCTATCCCACCTTCCGTATGGTAGCTTTTGATAACTCAGTTTCTTCTTCAAATGAATAGACCCCACTCTCCAAAGATAGCTCCTTTTTCTAAAAGAGAAGATTACAAGTTGAAAACCATGAACAAAAATTAAACTCAAATAAGAGATGTTGCTTACTCAAAAGATTGCTTTTGCACTGCAACATCACATCATGCTATATTGATAAAAAGTCAATTAATTATCATATAGAAAGTTTTAAACATACAGCATCCCATAAGGCCTAGAAAAAAAATTCCTGCCTCAAATGAAGCTTGGGCCCTTATTTCTTACATTCCTGTATTTCATCTTTCCCTAAGGAGGGACAATGACTCCCAGGGAGCGAAAGGTAATCTCAGCAAGAACTGCTTCCAAACACTCAGGACAATGAGGTTTTGACTGCTGCTTCTCTTTGATACCCTTCCATAAACACTTTAGGTTTATTTCTTAGAGACCACAGGATTATAAATGTATACCTCTGTCCCATTACTTACTTGCTTCTTACGAAATGTAAAGTATCTCACTTTTTTTTACCCTAACATTGCTATGAGGATAATTAAAATACTAGCTCCCATACAAATTAGCATGTCTATCACTTGTACTCTCTGATTCCAAAATTAACAGCCAAAAAACTAAAATCAATTGCCACATGTTTTCTTGAGTTAAAAAAAAAAAAAAGTTTCAAGGGCGCCTGGGTGGCTCAGTCGGTTAAGCATCAACTTCGGCTCAGGTGATGATCTCATGGTTCATGAGTTCGAGCCCTGCCATCAGGCTTTGTGCTGACAGCTCAGAGCCTGGAGCCTGCTTCAGATTCTGTTTCTCCTTCTCTCTGTGCCCATCCCCTGCTTGTTCTCTCTCTCTCTCAAAAATAAACACTAAAAAAAAAAAAAAAAAAATTTAAGGGAGTCCAGGTGGCTCAGTCGGTTGAGTTTCCACCTCTTGATTTCAGCACAGATCATGATCCCAGGGTTGTGGGATCGAGGCTTGTGTTGCACTCAGTGCCTGCTTAAGATTCTCTCTCCCTCTCTCCTTCTGCCTCTCTCTCCCCTGTTCAAATGCTCTTTCTCTCTTAAAAAAATGGCTCCAACAGTAAATCAGAAAATAAAGCAAAGGTTAGAAGCAGTGGGTTAGCTCTTTTACAATCATCTTTTACTTGCCTTGTGCTTTTTTACTTTGTTTTTCACAGCTGCCCGTATTGATTCTAATGACTCTTCATCTTCTAATGCAGAGTTATTTTCTTCCTCCAATCCAGTTTCAAAAAGGTCTTTATCCACAAGAAGACAGCCACTATCATTAAATGGCTGTTTCACATCATCCTCCTGGACAATGCATAAAGACAAAGCAAAATCCAATCACTCAAATTCCAATATTTCACAATATCATAAGGTAATTTGGACCAGGCTATATAAAAAGACCATTATATATTAGTAGACAAATATTCAGCATTTTAGAACATTCTCCCTGGTTCCTACCCACAGTCATCCTTTCAAGTCTATGCTGTGATTTTATGCCACTGTCCAAAACTAACTTAATAAAAAATAAATACTTCTGAAAACTCAAATACTTATCAAACAGCCAGTTTATAAAAGGATGGTTTTTCTAGTTAGCAAACAAGACTTCTGACTTATGGATGCCTAAAAAAAATACTCCTCTGAAAGTTCATTTTCATCAGATAACAAGCAGCAATACTCCATGTGCTTGCAAAGAAAATCAGAAATCCATTTATCCTCTGTGTATCCAAAATGGAGAATGAGACCAACAAGTTTTAAATTACGTACCTCATTAGCCCCAACGCAAAACAATCAACTCAAGGCTATATTCTGAGTGCAGAAACCTCAAGAACTAAAATCAATTTTTGCTAAGATGTTAATCTGCCTTAGAAAGAACAAATTTGGGGGTGTCTGGGTGGCTCATCAGTTAAGCGTCTGACCCTGAGTTCAAGTCCAGCCGCAGGCTCTGTGCTGACAGCTCAGAGCCTGGAGCTGCTTCAGATTCTGTGTCTCCCTTTCTCTCTGTCCCTTCCTTGTTCATGCTTGCTCTCTCTCTCACTCAGAAATAAAAAAAATAAAAAAAAAAAAAAACAGAACAAATTTATTCTTTTAAATATACCTCATTTTTGGTTTGTTTCTTTTTTAGCCGTCTGATTTTTTCCATCTTTTTTTCCTCTTTCTCAAGTCTTCTCTTTGATTTTACTTTTGATTTCCCTTCCGTTCCTTCTTTATCATGTTTGGGTTTTTTAGAAATCTTTCTGTCAACTGTAAAGCCCACGGAGTTTTCAGACTGGAGACTCAGCTCTAAGCAAGGCTTCACCTGAGTTTCAAGATTTTCCTGATACAAAGACTCCTCAATGTCACTTCCAGCACTGTCTGCCAGAGTTTTGTAAATCCTTCTGACTTTTCCATTTTTTCTGGCATATAAGTTCTCTTTATTTTCATCCTCGATGATCTCATAAGTGTCCTCTGGAAAGACATTTGTGTCCTCTCCTTCAGAATCACTGTCTTGTAGCAGCTTCCTGCTTTTTAATTTCTTACTCACAAATATCTCTTCATCTGAATCTGGAGGAAATATAATTTTTTTCAGAGGTCTACTGTTATTTGGTCCTCCTCCTAGTCCCCCTACTCCTAAAAAACATCCAATTACCCAAGTGCTATGTCACCTTGTGGAATTATGTAACTACCACTAAGAACTGATTAGAGCAAAGCAAATCTAAAAATAGGTTTTAAGAACCATTTTCCCTGAAAATGTCTCTTACTGAGAAATGTAATTATATATATTTACAAAGTGTAAAGTTGTTCTAATTCTTTTGGCAGGTGTTAAAAATCCTTTTATTAAAGGATGAATGCCTTCAACCATGCAATGTGGTAGCTCCTAGACATTTTACACATTTAATAATATAACAGAAATGGTTAATTTCAAAAGGGTACATGCACTATAATTTTGCTCTTATAATAAAGACAAACAATAAAGTCAGGCATTAATAATTTAAAGAATCAAGAAAATAATGAAACTAATCTAATCTACTTATGACCCAGGCCCACACATTCTATTTCTAAAAATAAAATTAAGGGGCGCATGGGTGGCTCAGTCGGTTAATCGTTCAACTTTGGCTCAGGTTAGATCTCACCGTTTGTGGGTTCAAGCCCCGTGTTGGGCTCTGTGCTGACAGCTAGCTCAGAGCCTGGAGCCTGCTTCAGATTCTGGGTCTCCTTCTCGCTCTGACCCTCCCCTGCTCTCTCTCTCACAAATAAATAAAACATTAAAAAAATAATAAATAAAATTAAAACATTAAAAAAAATTAAAAATAAAATTACTATTACAAACCTTCCTCACTCAAGGGCACAATTGTTCCACAGCTGCCTTGTCCACTGTCTGAAGGACTATCTGCTTCTTCCTGTGAGATAAGTTTTGGATCACTGATTTCTAGGTGAACCTGGAAAATGAGAACACACTTTCCTTTAACCAGCTGGTGACAGAAAGCTCTGAGTACATAATGATACACAAATCATCATAGGATCCGCAGGCTGAAGTAAGGAAAACATCAATACAATGGTTCAGTGAAGGGATGACATTAAGAATTACTAGAAAAAAAAAACCCAAAAATTCATTGTTCACCTTTGAAGGATACTATAGAGGCAATGCTTCATTTTGAGTAATGGTACATAAAAAGAATCAAGCATTTATTACACATTTTCTGTTTGAACTGCTTCTCAGTATATCCAAATGACATGTTAAATAACATCACAGAATTGCAATCCTGATGTGAAAAAAAAGCCCTATAGACAAATTATGTGTTTCTTTTAGAGTGAACTGCAAGAAAAAAAGAGAAAGGAAAGGAGGGAGACCTATACAGAGGATAAGATACATACATACATACATACATACACACACACGCACATCAACAATTGCAGTATGCACTTTGTTATTGTTTTTATTTTTTTAAGTAATCTCTACATCCAACCCATAACCCCAAGATCAAGAGTCCCATGCTCTACAGACTGAGCCAGCCAGGTGCCCCATACAATATGCAGACTTTGGTCCTGATACAAATAAACAGATGGGCACCTGGGTGGCTCAGCTGGTTAAGCATCGGATTTTTTATTTCAGCTCAGGTAGTGATCCCAGGGTTGTGGGATCGAGCCCTGTGCTGGGTTCCATGCTGTGTGGAGCCTGCTTAAGATTCTCTCTCTCTCTCTCTCTCTCTCTCTGTCCCTTTCCCCAGCTCACGTACTCTTTCTGCCTTTCTAAAATAAAACAAAATAAATAAACAGAAGGTATACATCTGAGTCAATGAAATCTGAACACTATTTAGTATTAAGCAATAATACTAAGCTTTTTAGATGCAGTAATATTTGTGGTTATGTGTTTTGGAAAGCAGTTATCTTTTAGAGATACATAATGAAATATTTTTTAATGAAATGATGTCTGGAATTTGCTTCCAAATATTCCAGTGAGGGGGCGCCTGGGTGGCTCAGTCGGTTAAGCCAAATATTCCAGTAAGGGTGAAAGTGGATGGGCTATAAATGAAACATGATTGGTATGATTTGATAACTATTTAAGTTAGGTAATAGGTTCATTATACAGCCTTTCTATGTTCATATATGTTTGAAAATTCCAAATAAAACCATTAAAATTTTTTTAATGTTTATTTTTTTAAATTTATTTTTAAAATTTACTTCCAAGTTAGTTAGCATATAGTGCACTGATTTCAGGAGTAGAATCCAGTGATTCATCCCCTACATATAACACCAGTGCTCATCCCAACAAGTGTCTTCCTTAATGCCCCTTGCCCATTTAGCCCATCCTCCCAGCCACAACTCCTCCAACAACACTCAGTTTGTTCTCTATATTTAAGTCTCTTCTCTTTCGTGCCCCACCCTCTTTTTATATTATTTTTGCTTCCCTTCCCTTATGTTCATCTGTTTTGTATCTTAAATTCCACATATGAGTAAAGTCATACAATATTTGTCTTTCTCTTGACTGACTTATATTTATTTTTGAGAGACAGAGACAGAAACAGAGACAGAGAGCTAGCAGGGGGAGGGGCAGAGAGACAGGGAGGCACAGAATCTAAAGCAGGCTCCAGGCTCTGAGTTGTCAGCACAGAGGCTGATGTAGGTCTTGAACCTAAAACTGTGAGATTATGACCTGAGCCCATGTCAGACACTCAACCGACTTGAGCCACCCAGGCGCCCCCCAAATAAAACCATTTTAAAGGTCACGGTAGGAGTGCCTGGGTGGCTCAGTCAGTTAAGCTTCTGACTTTGGCTCAGCTCATGATCTCACAGTTCCTGGGTTTGAGACCTGCACAGGGCTCTGTGCTGATAGTGTGGAGCCTGCTTTGGATTCTCTGTCTCTCTTTCTGCCTCTGTCCACCTCTCTCTTTCTCTCTCTCAAAAATAAATAAAATAAAACATTAAAAAAAATCACCAGTAAAAAGTATAAGTAGGATGGGTGTGTTAGGTGACATGACCAGTCAAGTGACCAGGCTGACCCTAGAGGCCAGGTCTCTTACATCCCTGGTGTTCTTTGGCCTCTGAATCAACTCAATAGGGGGTAGATATTAATATCTGTAATAAAGTAGGGCACTACTCACCCTAATGGCTTCTCTAACAACTGTTAAATTGTTTTAAATGTTTGGTATAATTATTAAAATAATAACCAAGATAACAGGTATTGAGGAATCACTGAGGATCATCACCTATGTGTTGATGATTCTCCCAACAATCCAAAGCAGTATGATTCTTTGTGGATGTGGAAACCGAGTTTAGATAACCACATAACTCAATACATGGTGATGCTTTAATCACTTTATTCTGTGCAATTTATACCTGTTATCAGTCACAGTCAGGGCCAGGAAAAGGGAAAGAACAGAGTCAAGTCTCAAAAACCCTAGTAATCAAGACAATAGTACAACGTTAAAAAAAAAAAATCAAACTGGCAAACTATGGCTCATGAGGTCAGCCTACTATTTTTGTAAATAAAGTTTTACTGGAACCAGGGCCAGGATTATAGGCACATGACGTGGAGTAGTGCATGCGCAGGGTCAGATCTTGTCTTTATTTAAAAGTCTGATATTTTGTTCAAAACCAAATAATGGAATTTTTGCTTCAACTTTTATTTTTAAAAATTGTATTAAAACATTCTCTTAATTACTGAGTTTGGCGGGGGGGGGGGGGGAGGCTCTTAAATTTTGCTCCCAAGGCTAGTGTCCCACCCTAGTCCAGGCCCCAGGAAAGAACACGGGTCTGGAAACAGATGCTTCTATGCCCAATCCTGCCAGCAATCAAGCAGCCACCAGCCGAGAGGGCTCGACTCTACTATTTCAGGGTCGCGTTGGGTGACCTCACAGGCCCCTTGCAGATCCAATTCTGAACTCCCAGAGACTGCCGCCGTCCATTTCCGGAGAACCCCGCCCCGCACCCCAGGGGCCCGGGTCGACCCCGACCTTCCTCCCTTTTGGGGGGCTGGACAAGGAAGAACTCTAGCGGCAGGAAACGCGCCAAAGAGGAGGCCGGGCGGGCGGGGCGGGCCGAGGAACTGCTGAGCGGCCCGCTGCGCGCGCGGAAGGGACCAGAAGCGACGCCGCCTTGCGCACACAGGCGCGGGAAGCCCAGCGCGGGACGGCACCGCAGAGTCGCGAGCCCGAGGGGCCATCCCGCCAGGCCCGGCCGCGCGCCGCGCCGCGCCGCCACGGCGCCGCCGGGAGCTGCAGCCCTCCCAGTCTCCGCGACCAGCTCCGCCCGACTCGACCCCTACCCCAGCCCGCCCCTCGGAGCCAGGCCTCCGCAGCCGCGGATGGCTGTAAGTGCACGAACCCACCTCAGAAAGTACTTCGCCCGTCATGACTCCGGCTTCCCCAGCGCCTCGCTTGTGACGGGGCAGGTCTCCGGTTCCCTTGGCCCGGGAGCAGCTGCTCCGCGGTCTCCAGGCCCGCAACAGCGTTCGAGCTTTCGCGCCCAGCAAGAGTGGAGGCCCCGCCCTAACGATTTACACCAATCCGGAGGAGTTTTTCTACATGAGGCCACGCCCCCACACCGTCCTACCAATCACGAAGCACCTTTGGCCAGCCGGGAGAATATAATCTGAGTAAGGTTGGCGGGTCTCGGCTCCTCGCGTCGATAGAACCTAAACTAGGCTGGGATTCTCCCGGCTGCCAGACCATCCAGACCGTCAGTCCCTCTGGCTTTGCAAGGCGGTACCAGGCGACTTGTGGCCTTTAACCTTTGACCCTTGCCACAGCGCTATTTTCGGAGTACGGCTTCCAGGCGGGGGAAGTGAGCTGGAAGAAGATCCCAGGGCAACCGAAGGCACCTGTGGGGATTTTCTCCAGGACCTCCATCTCTGGAGCAGCTAAATCCTACCTGCTCCTTCTTGTATACATAGCATTCACGCCACTGAACAAACAGAAAAGTTCTGTGGGCTGCTCAGATACCAAATAATATCTTTGGATAACCTCTATAATTTTATTTAAATTTAATTTGAGGATGCAGAAAACGCTCACCCATACCATTTCTAGACTCTTTGGACAAGGCAGGAAAAAGAATAAAAGGTTTAGTCAGACTAATCCCAGACAATTCTAATCCCTTGTCACTTTGCTAGTTACTATCTTTTTGCCCCTCCAGATCCATTCTCTGTCTTTCCTTATCCTGCTCTGTCCAGCAAAGGATAACTTCTCCCCACTGCATTACCCAAGCTCCCTTCAACCTCTGATCCTGGTTGAATCAAGCCCCTGGAAGGTACTTTACAAGATTACTGTGGGAAGGAGATAAGAGGGCACCAAGAAAGAAAGGCACAGTAGCTACCATCCCCACTTCACTCTCATGACCCTATCCACTTACCAACTCATCCCAATTTTCCCAAGACTTTCCCAGTTTTAGCGCTGAAAATCCCACCTCCAAGAATCTCAGTTCCAGGCAAATCAGGATAGTTACTTTATCCACTGGCCTCTTCTTCCAAGTTTACAGCTTTAGCTGGGTTCAGATAAAAATTTCTCTTTATTCATCTTTATTTCTTTACCTCCTCACCACTTCTCAACCCACTTTTGCCACCCCCAACAAGATCCCATTATCCACTCTCTTCTCTAACATCTGTCTAGCCACGTTTTCACCCACTTTACTATTGACTGCTACATTGATGATTTACAAATATACATCTATAGCATTCCTCCTTCATATTTTGAGGGCTAATATTTATTAAGGGCTTACCCTGTGACAGAAACAGTTGCAAGAAATTTGCAAACATCTTATTTAATCTTCAGAGTAAATTTGTAAGTAAGTAATACTATCTCCATTTTAGCAGGAAACTAAACTTTTAAAAGGCTAGTAAGTGGTGGAGCCAATATTTATATCCTGCTATGACTCCAGAGCTCAAACTCTTCAGAGAGATCTTGACTGAGTCCCTTCTACATTCTCCCTCTATCCCATGTTCTGGTTTCTCCAAGAAAACCTCTGCCTGTAATTTTATTTTATTTAAATGTATATTTATTTATTTTGAGAAGAGTGGGTGGGAGGGACAGAGAGAGAATCCCAAGCAGGATATGGGCTGTCTGCACAAAGCACCACACGGGGGCGAATCCATGAACTGTGAGATTATCTGAGCTGAAATCAAGAGTCCAATGCTTAACCCACTGAGCCATCCAGGCATCCCTGCAATTTTATTTTTAGCTATTTGTATATTGTTGCTCCAAGAAGATAAGCACTTTGTTTCCTTTAACATCATATCCTCACTATCTAGAAAAGCTGTTCTCAAATTTGAGCATGCATCAGAATTATCTGAAGGGCTAGTAAAAAAAGGATTATTAAATCCCACTCTCATAGTTTCTGATTCAGTATGTCTGATGTGAGGCGAAAGAATTTGCATTTCCAACTAGTTCCCAGATGATGCTAGTGCTGCTGGTATGGTGACCATGCTTTAAGAACCAAGGGCTTAGAATATATCTGGCTTATCGTAAGGAAATCAGCCAATATTTGTTGAACTAATTTTATCACTTAATAAGTAGAATATTCTTTTTTTTTTAACATTTATTTATTTTGAGGGAGAGACAGAGTGGGGAGGGAGAGACAGAGGGAGATGGAGAGAGAGAATCCCAAGTAGACTCCACTCTGTCAGCATAGAGGCTGATGCTGGGTTTGATTTCGCTAACTGTGAGTTATGTGCTTATGACCTGCGCCAAATGCTTAATTAAAAGCCAGACGCTTAATTGACTGAGCCACCCAGGCACCCCAACAACTATATTATTCTTGAACTCTCTTTGGAAGTGAATAAATGAGATAATAGTCCTGATATTAGCATTTTCAGAACTTATTAGCATTTTGTTCTCTTTGAAAAACACCTATTCGGTCACCAGAAAAAAATAGAAAGCTCTGATTTGGACAATGAGTGGAATGGGTGAGCTAGGAAGGGGAAACCTTATTCTATTTATTAACTGTGCTAATCTAAAGTGAGTCTGTATGTGGAATTAACAATCTACAATTTCAATTTTGGTTGTTGGCACCATAATCCATCATTCACCAGTTGAGAAACCTGGGAGTCACTTTGACTCCTCTCTCTTCCTTGACTCTCAAGGTTAATCATCCAACAAGCTCTGTTTATGAAGTTGATAGATGACAGCAAGAGAAAGCTCTGGGGTGTTCACTTTGCAGAGATTAGCCTAAACCTGTCCAATAAATGGCTTTGTAAATTTAGGTAAGTCATTTAGCTTCTCTTATCCTGTTTTCCTTATTCTAAAATAGAAAACATTGAATCCAATCCAATCAGATCAGACTGAATCTCAAATGGGTTTAGTTGGCAGATTACCAGGAAGTATTTCTACAGGAAATACTTTGCAGTACTGACCACACCTAATCTGGTCATAGAAATTAGGAAACGTTTTCATTGCTAGTACCTATCCTTATGTCACATAAAATCAATATAAAAAAAGGAATTCTGAGGGCACCTGGGTGACTCACTCAGTTGGTTAAGTGTCAGGCTCTGCACTGACAGCTCAGAGCCTGAAGCCTGCTTCAGATTCTGTGTCTCCCTCTGTCTCTCTGCCCCTGTGCCACTGTGATCTCTTTCTCAAAAATAAATAAACATTATAAAAATAACAGGAATTCTGGGGGCCCCTGGGTGGCTCAGTCAGTTGAGTGTCCGACTTTTGGTCTCAGCTCAGGTCATTATGTCCTTCTTCATGGGACTGAGCCTTACATCCAGCTCTGTGTTGATGGTATGAAGTCTGCTTGGGATTCTCTCTCTGCCCCTCCCCTGCTTGGGTATGCTCTCTCTCTCTCTCCTCCCCAAAATAAATCGATAGACTTAAAAAAACAATAAAGTAAAAAAACAAAAAAGGAATTCTGAGATTATATATCTATGAAAAAATAAGCCACTGGATTCTAACATGGTCAGCCTATTCCAAGGTTGTATTTATAATTGCTCACTGGCAGACAAACAAAAGCTGTTTCCAAAGGCTTATGAAAGTTTAGAGGGAAAAGTTGGTTAATTATTTATCTTATTTCACTCTTTCTGAAAATTGAGAAGCCTCCCATGTTAAGTTTTAGTACTACTATTTCTCTGGAGTTAAGTGTGAGAAATGGCTTCTTTTTCTAAAGTCCTAGGCAGCTCAATCTTTATCCCTGGAGAAGCACCGCCACCGTGTGGCAGGTCTCAGTCATGTCATTCTATCTATTGCCTGTAGCCACTCTATTCTAAACAAATTTTTTTTCATTTTAAAATTATTCAAAGAGCTGTTTAAATTTTTCCTTGGTGTGGTGAGATAATTTTATCATTCTTTTGAAAGAATCTGCTTTCAAAAATAATTTCATACTGTAATTCCATGCAGTTTAAAGCTTCTCCTGGAGAGTGCCCTGCTGAAAGGCCAAGGGCTGTTTTTCTGGCTTGATGTAAGTATCCGTGACCTTCAAAAATGGCACAGGACTTGGGGCACCTAGGTGGCTCAGTTGGTTGAGTGTCCGACTTCAGCTCAGGTCATGGTCTTGCAGCTCATGAGTTCGAGCCCCGGCTCAGGCTCTGTGCTAACAAACAGCTCAGAGCCTGATACCTACTTCAGATTCTGTGTCTCCCTCTTTCTCTTCCCCTCCCCTACTCATGCCCTGCCTCTCTCTGTCTCTCAAAAATAAACAAATGTTAAAAAAAATTAATAAATAAAGATGGCCCAGGCCATTACATGACACGTAATGGGTGCTTACTAAATGATTGTTGAATAAATGATTAAAATACTGTGGCCTAAAAAATATCAGGGCCTTTTCCCAAGGCATGACAGCGTGCACACCATCAACTATTTTTGTATGCAAAAGGTCCTTTACTGCAACTTTTGGCAAGCTTAAGTACCTATCAAATATTCATCCAATCATTCAACAGACCTTGAGCATCTATTTTGAGCTTATTCTAAACATGAATACAAAGATAAATAAAATTTAGTCTTGTTCTCAGAAAACTCCCGTTGCTTGTTGGAGAGAGGCAGATAAATATTCGTGCGTAATAGTAGAAGTATGTCTAAGTAGTGGTGGGGCCCTGAGGAAGGCAACTGACTTTGCCTGGGGTAAGCCAGGGGGAGAGGACGCCTGAACTGAGTTTCAAAGATGGATTGTAGTTCTCTAGGCTAGTACAGAGAGAAGAAGGCATTTGAGGTATGCACAGCGGCTTGATAAAGCATGTTGTGTTTGGGGAACTGTAAGTAGGTCAGTATGACTAGAGCTCAGGGTATGTGTTAGGGGGAGGGGGGAATGGCCAGAATGAAGGCTGAAAGTTAAACAGGGAACAAAAAGTCAGGAGTGCTATGTTTAGACTTCAGTTTTTAGACAATATGAAGTGGGCAGCTGGGGGTGGGCATGGAGGTTAAGAAGGGGAAAAACATGGTTAGATATGTTTGAGAAAGATTATTCTGGCAGGGTATGAAGGCTGGATTGGAAGGGGATTAG